GCCGGGCCCGGCATGGGCGACGCACCAGCCAGACATCTGCCAGCACATCCCAGGCGCGGCAAACAAGCTGGCGGCGGTTGGCCACCCGCGCTGCGGCGCGCACCCCGTGTCAGCTTTCCCACGCGAAACCAGCAAGGGCACGGTTCCCTCGAGATCACGTGCGCCTGCCACTCAGCAGGGTTGCGACAGGGGGGCTGGCGCTCGTTGTCGACCACCCAGTGCTGCACTGATTGGTTGGGCGCTAAACTTGCCGCAGTTCTGAATTCCCACGGCGCGTGCTCTCGACCGCCCGGTGCCGCGCTGTTTGGCGGCCCTGCGAGGTGGCCGCAGTTTAGTCATGCTTTTCCACGGCGCGAGCTGTCGCCCACCCGGCGCCGCTCTGGTTGGCGGGCCGAATGCGCTGCAGCCGGCGATGCGAGGACGCCCCGGCTGCGTTCTCAGCGACGACGCCCGGAAAAAGACCTGCGACGCGCGGGGCCAGCGGACGGCGGCGCTCTGCGGGCGGATCGGGGGCTGCTCCTGGGCGCAAGCCTTTCATGCCCCCCACCCGTCGCGCTGAAATCGATCGGGGGCTGCTTCCCGACGCAGCGCGGCGGGGGTGGCCATATCTATTAAGCCTTTCCCGTGCATAAGTCGATCGGAAGCTGCGTCCGAGCGCGACGCGGAGGAGGCGCGGGCGCCCGCTTCGAGTGGCGCCCGGACGACGCCGCCGCCCTAGAACAGTCGCCCGAGGCCATGGTGACTGTCTCGATCGGGGCGGCCCCTGCGCTTCGGATGGCACGCTCGGCGGCGGAAGTGGCCCCGACCAAAGGAGGGGCGCCGCCCGCCTCCGTGCGAGTGCACTTTCGCGACCTAGCGGGCAGGCAGTCCACTTGCAATCGATATGTATTCCCTCGCGCCGACTGCGCGCGCCGCCGACTACTTGCGGGAGACAGGAAGCCGAGCTCGCAGCCATCCGAGATCGATGCGACAACGGCGACGGCGCGCTCGGGCGGCGCAGGTGCGCGCTCTATCTCGCCACGACGCGCCTCCGCCGCGGTGGAGTGTCGGAGCGGCTGTCGCTGCCGAGCAGGCCAGGGCGCGCGCCCCGCGGCTGGCTTCTCATCGCTGCCACAGGTGAGGCGCTGAAGTGGCTGTCCCGGAATGCTTCCGCGCGGCGGGCCCGCGCCCGCTGCCGCTGCGGAGACAGCTCGCGAGGGGGCAGCCCGACTGACTGCTCCTCCGCGTCGTCGGCCGCTCCCATGTACTTCCTCCTCCTGTTCCTCTTCCTCCTCCTCCTCCTCCTCTTCCCCCCCCTCCTCTTCCCCTCCCATCCTGCTGGCCCCTGGACTCGGGTTGTCTTCGAATTCGGACCTGGGGCGAAGTGTTGCGACGCTGCCGGGCACCCTCGGCCGCGCGGCCGTCTCTCGCAGATGATGGGGCGACCGCCGGCCGCGTCGAAGCCGTGGGTGTTCGGGCTGCGCGGGGCGCTGGCGGCCGCCTGTAGGAGATCGCCAGTTGCGCCAAGAATATGGACTTCGCACCCGCGCCGGGCACGCAGAATGCACGCAGAGAGTCGTCGCGCGTTCTTCTGAGGAGGGAGGGGGGCAGAGTCGTTCTAGAAGCAGCGGCGCAGTCAGGGTTGCGCGCGAATCGAAGTGCAGGAGTTCCTATCATCTTGGGTTGAATATCGGGGCGCCCATGCGCGACAAGTTTTTGTCGGGCCCCCGGGGCCCTGAGGGCGACGTCTTGCAGCCAGACTGCGACGCAACCTCGCGTTGCTCATATCCCTCCTCGGCCTCGCAGCAGGGGCCCCGGGCCCCAGTAGGGCCGGGCGGTCGCCCAGATGATGCTGCGGTGGCAAGATTGCGATTGGGGCGCCGCGAGATCGAGGGGAGGCGGGGGGGGGGGGGGGCGCGCGAGCGAGGCGGCGGGGCGGACTGGGGCGAGAGAGAGGGGACAGAACGGGGCGGGGGAGACGGCCTCAGAGATTCTGGAGCAGCGCCATCCTATGACGGCGAATACTTACTGATGGAGTCGATTTGTTCGGCGAAGGACCAGGCGGCCCATCGGGCATGATCGAGTTCGCGTTTATTCCTCAGGGCTGGCGCTCTCGATTGGTTTGGCGCCGCGCCCCGCGGCGCGCGGGCGCCCGACTGCGAGCTCAGACAGGCCGCCCACCCCGCGATCGCGCCCCGCTCTACCTCGAACTGTCGCGCCCCGAGGGCCCTCGCGCATGCTCGGCGGCACCCAGAGTTAATTTGAACATGTCCACTCTCACGTCTGCGCTCGAGCTCAGCGCGCAACGCATTGATATCGCGAGGGGGAAAATGGCTCGGGGAGAGGGGGGGCGACAGGATTCGGGTGCGCGATCAGGATGTTCCGCCCTCGCTTGTCGCGCGGCCCTCTCTGCCTTCGCGCGCGTGTCCTCCAGCGTCTGACGCCTCAATGTTTCGCGGTCCCACAGTGCCGCGCGCGCGGCCTCTCCGCGCGCGAAGAGCACTGCGGAGCCGCCCCGCCGGACGGATGATTGGCCGCTCTGCTCTGCTCTGCTCTGTGAACAGTGTCGCGTCGAAGTGGGGTCGGAGTTCTTTTGGGCAGACGCGGCCGCGCCTCGCGATTGCCCTCGCTGGACCGAGCTGCGCCGCGAGTTTCTTCAGAAGCGAGTGGAGCTCAGAGCCTTTCGATTACATGAGGAGGGCTTGCAGGCCGTCGAGGCCGAGCTCGAGTCCATCTTTCAGCGAATGCGACTGCTCCGCCAAAAACATCAGCGAGCAGAACGCGGCTCCTTTGTTCAGGCAGCCAGCGAAGCGTGGAGCCGACGCAATCTTTTAGAGGCCATTGGCTAGGCCATTTCTTCCAGAGGCCATTGGTCCACCGTTGTTCGTCAAACACAAAAGAAACGCGATGGCTGACGGCGCGGTGCTTCGCCGGTTTCGTCCAAACAAGAATGGCCCGACGTTTAGCAGCCTCCTGGAGGGGCGGGGGGCGCGAATGCGATCCCGATCGGCATCGACCAGTGGCGAAATCAACGCGACGATCTCGAACGCGCCCAGACGCGCCACGTTGCCCGATGTGACACCATATTTACGGAATTTGGCCCTAGGTGGCAGTAAAAGACTTCGAAGGCATGTTCGTAGAGCCCCGAAGCGTCGAGTCGTTCCTGACGTTGCGGCCCTGCTAGAGCTCCGGCGGCAGTTGCTGCGCCGCGAAGCAGGCGCGGGGTTTTCACCCGCTGGCCTTGGGCCAGAGAGCGCCTGCTGAACTCGCTCTTTTTTCGATGTGCTGCTGGGTGCGATGATGAAGGCGCGCGTTGCAGATCTGGCGCCTCTCTACTGGTGTATCATTCGTGGTTGTGCTCGGGGTCCAAGGGTGAGAGGGTCGCCCGCGCCCGCCCCGTCGCGGGCACGTCGCCCTTCCCCGACCTCCTCCCAAACGATCTTTCCAGAGGATTGTTGGTTTCCGAGTCGCCGTTTCCGTGAGGGGGCCATTTTGGCGTTGCAGGTGGCAGGGTGGAGATTTAGAGAGTCGGGGCGGAGCCACGGGGCCAGTCTAAAGGATGTGAGCGGTGCTTTCGGCGCAACGTCCTAGACTTCGACGAGCACTACTATGTCTGCATGCGTTTCTGCTGAGAGCTTCTTGCTGCTTTGCGAGAAGCCATCGGGGCGCCAGTGTCTCACTGCCTAGTGGCGGGGGTGCGCGGCGGTCAAAACGCGGATGGGTGGCGCGATGGGGGATCCATTCATGGCGACAGTTCTCTCTGCTGCGTCTCGGCGCCCTGCGCAGCAGTCGGCGGGGGCCTTGCGCGACCGGGGCCCCTCGACCTCAAGTGCGCGGGCGATCTGTGCCGCTGCGCCCTTTCTTCGCACGGTGCCCTCTTGGGCCTCTTCATCACCTCGCCCCGCCAATCCGATGATCTGCTCGACTCGCATCTCCGGGGGCACGGGTGCCAACGAGCCGTGGGGAACAGTCTATAGCTGCACGTTGGAGAAGGAAGGGGCCACGGCATATCGGAGGTGTCTTCGCGGGCCTGGGCAGTCTCTTACCTCTGGCACTCATGTGGAGGAGGTGGGGCATTTGGGGCCCCAAAAGAGCGTGCCCAGGCTTTTAGTCAGGAGGTGGTCAGGCGTCACCAGGCAACGCGCTCGGCATTCCATTATCTGGGCGGCTTCTGGTCCTTCTCTCCCCCTTGGAAGTTTACTCGTGCTAGTTTTTTTTTGTTTATATATATATATATATATATATATATCTGGCGCAGAATTCAGCTCTTCGTGGTCTCGAGGCCTGAGGGCGCGCAAGTTAGACGACTGCGACGGGGGCGACGCGGACGCTCCTGAATGAGCCGCTGCTGAAACATTGGCGTATGCGCGAGGCTTCTGCGGAGCTCTATTTGCGGTCTCAATTGGTGCAAATCTTGGTCTGCTCATTCATCCAGTCACGCGCAACTTTTTCGGCGCTCTTCGGGGAGGTTCGTTTCGACACTATGCTTGCGCTTATGGTTGACGGCTTCCTGGCCCCACGGGCTTCCCCGTGGGCCTCGAGGGTGGTGGAGGGCCTCCGCTGGGCCCATGGGCTCATCCGTGACTTTGAGGGCGTTATTGGGGAAATCGCCGGTCGGCTCAGGCTCTCGCGGGGCCCCGAAGCCCGACCCGCTTCCCTGAAGCTTGACTTCACGGCCATGCGACGATGTTTTTGGGGATCCACTATTGCGCTTCTTGCCTTCAATGATGAGGAGGAGGAGCACGGGAATGCTGCGGAGGATTTACAACAGGCCGGTGGGCATTTTCGACGCCAGTCGGAGGGGTGCGGGGAGGCGCTCGGGCCCCAGAAAGGCCTCATGGCACATGATGCGCCCGCCGCTCACGTCGCGACCTCCGCTCACTATATCCTGTCCTCGCGCCGTGTAACGCGCGCATCTGCTGCAGAGAAGTGTTGGGGCACAACTTGTGCTGCTCAGCATTTGGTGCTTGCTGCGAAGCGGGGGCATTATCGGTTCGGGGGCGGTGGGGCATTGAAACCCAATGCGCCTTCGCCGCCGCTGTCGCGTCCCCGGTTCGATTATTAAGCGTTCCAGCTGGGTGAATCGCGTCGGCATCTACGCGGCCACTTGCCCGGCCCAGTTGTTCCCCGTCGGCTCCGTGAGCAGCTGCGCCCTACGGGCGATCGGGGAGCTGGCGCCTGCGGCCTGGGCGGAGGCGACGTCGCGCGCGAAGCGTGGGCCCGGGTGCCGCGACTCGGAGGATCTACCAGCGAAGCGCGCCGAGGGCCGCCGGGGGGGCGAGGCGGGCGGCGGGGGGGATGTCACGATTGCGACCTTTCTTCTCCTCGCCAAGCTGCGCCATGCATCCCAAAGCAAGAGAATGCGGCAGCGCGCGGGCGAAACTATCGACTTCCGAGCACGGGGGCCGCCGCGCGCCCTGTTGCGGGCCGCGGCCGCGCTCTGTCTCACCGACAGCGCGGCGGCCTTGGGCGGCTGCGCAGCGTGCGTTGAAGGCGAGAAGAAGAAGTTTCGCGAGTTCTTCGCGAAGTACGTTCAGTCAGCCGAGCCGACCGCGGCGGGCAAGCGCGCCCCCCATTACCGCTGTCGGAAGCACGGGGGCAGGCGGAACGCCGAGGTGGGCGGAACCGCGGCCAGCAGCCAGGGGGCAGCAGCCAGCCAGTACCAGAATAAGGGCCGCCGGACCGTCGCTCAGCTACGACCAGGCGGGGGCTCAGGCTCGCGAGATTCCCGCCTTGGACCTCAACCGCGAGTCGCTCCACGCGGCGCAGCTGGCGGGCCCAGGCCCCCCCTCGGGCGCGAAGCGGCCCGCCTCCTCGACCCCATTTGGGAAAAATGGGCCAGCCGGAGCCACGGGCGATGCATCCTTACCACGCGAGTTGGGAAAAGAGTAGGAGCAGGAACCGAGGCCAAGGCAGCGATTGGATGGGCAGCAGCACGAAGCAAAGATTTTCTTCAAGCAAAAAATGGCCTTCTCGGGTAGTGGGCGCTTGGCCAGGTTTAGTGGCCCGAGGAATCATTCCCGATCCTTTCAGAGCCTGTAGTTTTGATGCGTGCGTTAATCCAAGTTCCCCCTTCATCCCACTCGCGGTGGCCCCCGAGCGGGCCCCGCGCATGTCGAAGGGCAGCAGCAAAGGCCGAGGACCCAGCCATGAGTCGGTCCCTTAGGTGGTTATCCCCAGTGCGCCTGCGTGGCGCCATGGGAGTGCGCCGCCGTTCGGGGGCGTCGCTGGTCCCGCCAGCGGGGCCCCCCCGTGGGTTGCGCTGGATTCAGGACCAGCAGCCCATCTGAACTCTCCGCGCGTTGTTCATTGCTCGCTGCTCCTGTTCTTGCTGCCTTGCCGCTAGATGACTTGAGCCAATCCTGACCTGAAGTCAAGGCGGTTCTTCGCGCCTCAAGGCTTGCCTGTGCATGGGTTCGCATCAGAGCAACCGTTGCCAGCTGGAACGCCACGCGCCGCGTCAAGGGGGAGAGTCGTCGACCGTGTTTGCTCGGATGCCGTGGCTGCCCGCATGCTTTTCCCCCCTACCTCACGTGTTTCAATTTCCTTCAATTCAGGAGGAGGAAAAACACACAGACACAATGAATCGTCGATTCCCCCGAAAATGCAGGAACATGTGGGCAGTGTAGGGGGAAGACAGAAACCCGGAACATATGGGAAAATACAGGGTGCTCTTCTTTATTTGTGTGTATGTATTGTAGTGGCCTCCGGCCAGCGCCGCCGATCCGGGACGCTCCGGATGCTGATGATGGTGGTGATGATGATGGTGATGATGATGATGTTGATGGTGATGTGACGATGGTAATGATGGAGATGGTGATGATCCCGCACCCTCCTCCCCACCTCTCCTCCTCTCTCCTGTCCCCTCTCCCTCTCTCCTGTCCCCCCCCTTCTCTGCTTTCCTCCCCCCTCCCCCCCCTCACTCTCCTGTTTCCCCCCCCCCTCTCTCCTGTACAATTATTCAATATGAATACTACTCTCTTCCTTCCCCTGATGACGGGTTGGGAGTGTTGGCCCCCCCCCGCGTATTGGTTTTTTACAGAGGATTCCCCGGAGTTGGGTTTTCGCTTGCATTTGTTTTCAAAATGCTGCTCTCGCTGAGGCGCCGGCCTCATTTTCGGGCCCCGCTCGTTCCGAATCGTGCTCCCGCTGCAGCGCTGGCCTCATTTCCGTGCTTCCGCTCGTTCCGCATCGTGGTCCCGTTGCAGCGCTGGCGTCATTTCCGCGCTTCCGCTCGTTCCGAATCGTGCTCCCGCTGCAGCGCTGGCGTAATTTCCCGTGCCATGCCACTGCATGCAATGCAATTCTAGGTTGCGTTCCGCTGCGCGATGCCATGCCTTCAGCTGAAGCTGTGAAATGCAGTGCTTCAGTGCCACGTCGTGGTATGCCATGCTACGCTTTCATCTTCAACGCCATGCTATGCAAAGTTATGTTCTGGGCCGCTGTGCGATGTGATCCTTTGCGTTGCAAAGCTTCGTGATTAAATGTTTCACTACGCCACGCCACGCCATGCTGTGACATACTACGCTTTGCGGTGCTCTTCTACGCCATGCCATGCCGTGCTCTACAATGCATCGCGTACCCTTTTCGGGATCATTGCTCTGCTCGACATCCGACTGTGCGAGTAGAGAGGGGATCTACGCCATGGTAAGGGATGAGAGGGAGGGGTAGGATGTCAGATATGACGCGAGCGCACCTAGCTTGCCCCCCCCCTCTCCCCCCCCTATCTCGTGTCCCCCCCCTCTCTCCCCCCCCCCCTTTCTCCTGTCCCCCCCACTCCCCCCCTTTCTCTTGTCCCCCCACCCCCTCTCTCCTGTCCCCCCCCCTCCTCTACAATTACTCAATATGAAAATACTTTCCCTCTTCCCCTGATGGCGTCCGGGTGATGGCCGCGCACCCTCCGCGTATTGTTTTTTAACACACAGGATGCCCGGGAAATCCCGGGAAACGACTCTCGCTGAGGCGCCGGCGTCATTTTTTCCCAAAATGCTGCTCTCGTTGAGGCGCCGGCCTCATTTCTGCTCCCGAATCGTTCCGAATCGTGCTCCCGCTGCAGCGTGGGCCTCATTTTCGGATCGGTGTTTGGCCTCCGTCGTTCAGGATGGCGTTCTCGCCCCAGCGCGGGCCTCTTTCTCGCGCGCCCATCCGCCCGCCACCACCGCGCCGCACCGCCACCACCACCACCACCACCACCACCACCCACCCACCCACCCACCCACCACCACACCCACCCACCAGCACCCACCCACCCACCAGCACCACCACCCACCACCACCACCATCACCACCACCACCACCACCACTACCACCACCACCACCACCACCACACCACGACAACCACGCACACACGCACGCACGCACGCACGTGCACCACCACCCACTACGCACGCGCGCGCGGAGCCACAGGTCCGCTACGACACGCGTCCGCGGATAGAGAAAATCAGCGCCATGGTAAGGGATGGGAGGGAGGGGTAGGACGTCAGATATGACGCGAGCGCACCTAGCTTGCCTTTCCCCCCCTCCCCCCTTCTCCTCCTGTCCCCCCCCCCCCCCCATCTCTCCTTTCCCTCCCCCCTCCCCCTTTCTCTCCTGTCCCCCCCCCCCTCCTGTCGCCTGTCCCCCCCCCCCCTCTCCTTTTCCCCTCCCCCCCGCCCCCTCTTTCCTGCTGTCCCCTCCCCCCCCCCTCTCTCCTGTCCCCCCCCCCTCTCCCCGCCCCTCCTCTCCTTTCCCCCCCCCTCTCTCCTCCCTCCCCCCTCTCTCCTGCCCCCCCCCCCTCTCTCCTTTCCCCCCCCTCGCGTGTCAATTCTTTCGTCGTTGGCGTCTCCCCCCCTCCCCCCTTGCAGAGCGAAGCTTGAGCGAGCCCCCCCCTCTCTCCTTTCCCCCCCCCCCCCTCGCGTGTCAATTTTTCGTCGTTTTGCGTCCCCCCCCCGACCCCCCCTCCAGAGCGAAGCTTGAGCGAGCTCAAGACCACGCTCTCAGAAACTCACACGCCGGATCGGCGGATTTGTGTGTCCCAGGGCCCCTTTCATCTATGTGTGTGGTCCTCGCCCGCTGCTCTCCTCGTCTTCTCCGGCCATGCCGTCCACAGCGGGCTCCCGCTTTCCTCTTTGCCTCCGGCCATGTCGTCCGCCTCGGGGGCTCGTGCGGCTGCGCGAGCGCAGCGCCCAAATTGCGAGCGCGAACGCGCCCGCGCACTCACACTGCTAATGTTAAGTCGGGCCTGTCCCCCTACAGGGGGATTTTCGACGAAAAATAAAAAGGTACCCCCCAAATAATCAAAACATAATCAAGAAATCGTATGGGGACTATTTCTTGAGTATTTTTGACCTTTTTGGGGCATGTTTGGGTTTTTCTACCGTCGAAAATCCCCCTGTAGGGAGGGGGACACGCCCGACTTAATGCTAATGTTCCATTTCCATTCTCGGGGGTGGACAGACCTCCTACCTTAGTGAGCCTGGAAACGGCAGGGCCCTTTTTTCACCGTTTCCGAAAGAGTGTCCCTTGAAAATGGAGGCGGCAAATCAACGGCGAGCGGAGACGGCAACAAAAACGGCTCCAGGATTGGAACCGGAGCGGGAACCCGTCAAAGAACGGCGACGGAACCGGTAAAAGAACGGCGTCGGAACCGGCAAAAAAACTGCATAACGGAACCGGTAAAAAAACGGCCCTGTCGTTTCCAGGGCCCATTAAGCCTCCTACCCTGACACGTCGATTAGGGAATTGGCCGTTTTCGGTTCGCGAGAGGGCGTCGCGGCCGTCGTTCTTGCGGGTCCAGGTCCGTCGGTTTCGGCCCTGGGCCGTTTTCATTAAGGGGAGGTCTACGAAAGGGAGGCTTGTCCAGCTCCGACATGTCCATGACATTACTCGGCGCGCATCAGCCCCTCCACAGGGTGGTTCTGCACATGTCGAGTTCCTCAGAGCAGCTCAAGCTGCCATCCGCATGTCGGTGAGTCTGGTACCGGCTGCGCTTCGTGGTGCTTGTGCTCTTTCTCCTGCTCCTCCTCCCCACTCCGCCGCTTAGTGTTGAGACTGTTGGTGCTACTGTTTCTCGTTCGCCTCGTCCTCGACCCGCATCGGTGAGAACTCTTTGGGAAGTTCGAGGTGGGTGCGCTACCAAATCGTGGACAGGATGAAGCTTGCGTTGCTTTGCATGCGAACCAGCTTGCCCATCGCAACCCCCACCGTGAGTATGTCGAGCGCTCAGAAAACGGGGCTCACTTGGAAGCCGGGGGGCTGTTGCCAAGGAGACGATCCTACAATGCACGATGCCAACGAGTACGCCGTCCCTGGAGGCCCACGGGGGTACCGTGGGAAGGGAGTTGAGTGGCGTCATGCTGTCAGTCTATAGTCGTCACCTCCTCTTCTTCCTCCTCGTCGCCCCGCACTCGTTTCCCCCTGGCTACGAGAGCAAGCGAAGGCAGCACGGACCGACTCCACAAGCGGCTTCCCCACTCCTGCCTCTTGCATTCCTCGGTTCTCATCTGGAGGCGCTGGGCTTGCTGTCGGCACGGGTTTCTCGAGAATGTGCCGATGGCATGCCGACCTCGCCTTGAGGGAGGAGGGGGAGAAGAAGGTGCACGATAAGGACGAGCAGGATGATGATAAGTGCAACCCAGAACTCATTAGCGATGGTGGAATAAACCTTCCCTCCAAGCTCCCTCTTCATAGGCCCCTACACGGATTCATTGTCACTGAGAGAAGTGCCCCGTTAGGAGACAATCGTGTGAAGACCCTGAAGCGTGCCAAACACATTTCTCGGGACTTCAACGCCATGAATCAACCTGACTGTCGCATCTGGACGATCCTGAGTCATGCCAGGACACCATTCCTGGGACTTCGGCACCGCGACTCAACGTAACTGTTGCGCCCTGCCAATCCTAAACCGTTCGCAAACATCGCTTCTTGTAATTACGCTAACCATGGGAACCCGTGAGCCTCTTGTCATTTCTACAAACGGATGTGCGAGGCGCTTCGGCCAGAGCCACATTTTGAAACGGAGCCACCCTCAATCGCTGAAGCCCTTCCAAATGTTTACAACGCATGTGCGCGGCGCTAAGGAGAGAGCTACATGTTTAAAACGGCCCGCCCTCCATCGGTGAAGCCTGCGCAATTGTTTCAACGAATGTGTGCGGCGCGAGGCGAGAGCCGCATTCTGTAAGCGGCCCGTCCTCCATCTGCGAAGCTGTTGCCTCTTGGAGTGCTCCAGGGCCGTCTTGGAAACTGTCTTGGGCGTCTTGGAGGCCTCTTGGGCTGTCGTTGGGCCCTCTCTGGGCCGTCTTGGAGGCTTCTTGGGCTGTTCTGTGGCCATCTTGGAGGCCTCTTGGGTGATCTTTGGGAGCTCTTGGGCCGTCTCGGGCCGTCGGAAGGCCGCTCTCTTGGAGGCCTCTTGGGCCGTCTTGGACCATCTTAGGGCCAGATTCGGCCGTCTTGGTGAACCCCTGGCCCGTCTGACGCCGTCGGAAGCCGTCTTGGGGGCCTCTGGGACGATTTAGGGCCTTCTTGAGGTGCTCCAGGGCAGTCTTGGAGGCTTCCTTGGGCGTCTTAGAGCCCTCTTGGGCCATCTTGGGGCCCTCTTGAGGCCGTCTTGGGGGCCTCTTGGGCAGTCCTGAGGCCTTTTTGGAGGTCTCGTGGGCGCTCTGGGGGCGATCTTGGGGGCCCCTTGAGTTGTTTCGGGCCGTCGGAAGGCCGACAAAGAGTAAATGAGAACATCGCACAACAACCTAAGGAACATCAGTTACTGTAGCATCTTCGGGCCCTCCTGGAGAACCTCTCGGAGGCCTCTTGGGCCGTCTTGGAGGCCTTTTGAACACCTCTCGGCCCGTCTTGGAGGCTTCTTGGGCGTATCTGGAAGTATCTTGGACCCTCTCAGGCCGTCTTGGAGGCCATCTTGACCATCTTGGAGGCATCTTGGAAGCCAGCTTGGGCCATCTTGGAGCCGTCTGGAGACGACCAACCATTTGCAGCCACCTTTTGCGCACTTTTCCGGGTGGCCAGCGGGACGGGTCGACGCCCCAGGGGGAGTTCTAAAAGAACCAAAACTGAAAAGGTCTAGCACGCTTGGCACTCCTGTGGCAAGCCAACGAGGGTCGGCGGATCTTGGGGGCCTCTTCGAGGCCTCTTTGGGGCCCCCTTGGGCCTGCTGGGGGCCTCTTGGGGGCCATGTGTTCCCCCAACCGTTGTGGAAGCCCGTCGGGGAACATTTGGGGGAGGATGGCGGGGACGATCAGGAGGATGAGGGGGAGGAGGTGGAGGAGGAGGAGGAGGAAGGGGAGGAGGTGGAGGACAAGCTAGGTGCGCTCGCGTCATATCTGACGTCCTACCCCTCCCTCCCATCCCTTACCATGGCGCTGATTTTCTGTATCCGCGGACGCGTGTCGTAGCGGACCTGTGGCTCCGCGCGCGCGTGCGTAGTGGGTGGTGGTGCACGTGCGTGCGTGCGTGCGTGTGTGCGTGGTTGTCGTGGTGGTGGTGGTGGTGGTGGTGGTGGTGGTGGTGGTGGTGGTGGTGGTGGTGGTGGTGGGTGGTGGTGGTGGTGGTGGTGGTGGTGGTGGTGGTGCTGGTGGTGGTGGTGGTGGTGCTGGTGGTGGTGGTGTTGGTACTGGTGCTGGTGCTGGTGGTGGTGGTGGTGGTGGTGGTGGTGGTGGTGGCGGTGCGGCGCGGTGGTGGCGGGCGGATGGGCGCGCGAGAAAAAGGCCCGCGCTGGGGCGAGAACGCCATCCTGAACGACGGAGGCCAAACACCGATCCGAAAATGAGGCCCACGCTGCAGCGGGAGCACGATTCGGAACGATTCGGGAGCAGAAATGAGGCCGGCGCCTCAACGAGAGCAGCATTTTGGGAAAAAATGACGCCGGCGCCTCAGCGAGAGTCGTTTCCCGGGATTTCCCGGGCATCCTGTGTGTTAAAAAACAGTACGCGGAGGGTGCGCGGCCATCACCCGGACGCCATCAGGGGAAGGATTCGGGAGCAGAAATGAGGCTGGCGCCTCAACGAGAGCAGCATTTTGGGAAAAAATGACGCCGGCGCCTCAGCGAGAGTCGTTTCCCGGGATTTCCCGGGCATCCTGTGTGTAAAGAACAGTACGCGGAGGGTGCGCGGCCAACACCCGGACGCCATCAGGGGAAGAGGGAGAGTATATTCATATTGAGTAATTGCGGAGGAGGAGGAGGAGGAGGAGGAGGAGGAGGAGGAGGAGGAGGAGGAGGAGGAGGATTTGACGTCTACTACTGCCAAGACGTACAAGCCGGGAGGACGGCGCCTCCTCCCATGGGGTGACCGGTAACAAGAGAGGAGCTGGTCTGACGCCCCACGCCCCCCCCGAGTTAGGAGGAGCCGAGAGCTGGCGCGGAGAGAGCCGCGGCAGCCGCAAATCGGGGGAGAAAAAGATACGGATACGTGTTGTCCCCCTTCGTTTTCGGCCTTTCCTGGTCCTCCTGGGGAATCCTCGTTGTCACCGCTGGATTCGCCTCGAAATTCTGGTCAGAACGCACCCCAAGAGAGGTCCGGGGAAAACACGTATCCGTATCTTTCCGCCCCCCAAACAAAGGCAAGCCCCGCGGGCATGCGCACGGCACACGCCAGGGCCCTCCGAGGGGAAGGCGGCCTGGAGAGCCGACTGGCCCCAGAGGGGCGCAGAGGAGACAGTGGGCCTGGAGGCCGGCGCCGGCTCCCCCCCATTGAGGGGGTCGGCAGCCACCGGGGCCGGGCTGCTCGATCGAGCAGCACCAGAAGAACCACAGGGCTCCTCCTCCTCCTCCTCCTCCTCCTCCTCCTTCTCCTTCTCCCCTCCTCCTCCTCCTCCTCCTCCTGCTCCTCCTCCTTCTCCTCCTCCTCCTCCTCCTCCTCCTCCTCCTCCTCCTCCTCGGCAGCCACCAGGGCCAGGCTGCTCGATCGAGCAGCACCAGAACCACATGGCGACGTCGGCGGAACACGACAGTGCCCAGTAGTCCTGAGCTCACGGCGGGGCGTACGGTCGGGGAGGACAGGGCGGCCTCCCCCGTGCCCCGACGCGCACTGAGAGAAGAGAGCGGCCCCCCTTGCGCAGCGGTCGCCGCAGGGGGAAATCCGCCCCGCGGCCGTGCAACAGGGGGGGGGGCGAGGGCAGCACGAGGCAGTGACAAGGACGGCCAGCAGCGCCTGCCTGGCGGCACCCCGAGGCCCAAATTCCAGGGCTGGCTGTGCAACCAGCACCGCCCAAACAGGACGACACAAAAACCCCAGGTCGAACCCGTCACGTGAGCCCACCTAAGGAAACGCCCGCGCTTTCCCCCTGAAGCGGGGTGCCTGACGCGCGTGCACGCAAGACGCACGGGCGCACGCACTCACGCATGCAAAAGAAACGAGAAACATCGACCGCCCACGCCTGGACGACGTGGCCGAGCCGACTCCTGGTGCTGGTGCGCCAGGACGGTGGCTCGGCCAACGCCCCAGGTCTGGGGTGACATAAGCAAAAAGGGCCGCCACCAAGGCAGCCCCCGACGGGCAAATGCGGCGGCAATTCCGACCAACCGCAGACAGTGCGGAGCTCATGGCGACGAACAAACTAGCGCCACGGCACCGCCTCGATAGAGCGAGAGAGAGAGAGAGAGAGAGACGGATTAGAAGGGTGCCGACCTTTGCAAATCACCCCGAAGGAGTAGGCCTTCTTCCTTGAGCGCTGTCCGCAGCTGAGGACCAAGCCACGAACGTAGCCAGCCGCTGGGAAGGGATACACCGAAGACAGACCGTGAGCGCAGTGCCGTCTGAGACCGAGAGCGACTCTGCATTGTGGCCAAGCGCTCTCGGAGAGGGACCGTCCAGCTTGGAGTCGTCAGCAACCGGAGCTTCGTTCCCACGCAATTCTCCTCGCCACAAGGCAGTGCTGGCACCGCCAAACACCGAAGCGGAGCCCCAGGTCCGTCTCGAGTTCCCAGCAGTGGGGCCTCCCTTGGGGACGCATCGCAGAGCGAGGCACCAGGAGAGGACAGTCCGAGAGGTCCAAGCGGGGCCACTTCGGCATCACGTTAGCAGCGAGCATGCATGCGGATTTGGCTATCCGCATGCGGAGGAACAGCTCCTGCAGCTCATCCTCCGAAGCAGAAGGATGAGCACGCGCTCCAAGCTTCGCGGCCTCGTCGGCCTCGTCGCTGCCGATTCACCTCCAGCGCTCGGCATCCGAAGTGCCCACCTCGAGTGGGTCTTGGTGCGCTTTGGCTTTGACCACGCCCTCCACCAGCCTCCCGCCCAGCCGGAACATCATCACCAGGCCCGCGGATGGCCCCCCGTAGTTGAACTGCACTTCGCTGCTGCTCGCT